TAATCCAAGCTCCTCACAAGCTGTTTCCAAATATTGAAACACATTATGGCCGGCCACCAGCTCCATCTTATAATCAAATAGATGAATCACAAGGCAATTTCCTTCGGATTTTTTTTTAATAGGATTTCCACTCCTACCTCATTGCCTTGTCTGGCCTGATGTTTACAGAAAAAGAAATGACTACTTTCAAATATATCTCATCATGGTTTTTTGTCAAATAAAAGCTGGCTGACTGCTGGAGGCACACTCCTCAGAACTCCTCATGTGCTGGGCCTGTTTTATGATACTCACTCAGGTGCCCTTCCTTTGCATCTGTGGGTCTCCACTCCCCAGAAGGGAACTTTTGCCAGCATTCACAGGAGGGCTAGATTTCCCCATCAGGTGTTTATTTTAAAACATCTGCCAGCTACATCTGCAGCTTTTAAATTAGACTGGTTTAAATGTGTAAGTATATATTTGTGTATATTCACGTACATATATATGGGGATGTGTCTATACATATGTGTGTGTAAAATTGAAAATACGTTTTAAGAAACTGCCCTCCAAAACTGTTTCATTACCCACAGGGCAGCCACATTTCTCCAAATCAAAGGACTGCCTTCAGGCCTCTGGGTGATACTAGCAAGAGTATTTCTAAATTCGCCTGCATTTTGATTTTTCTTAAAGTCTGACATTAAAAAGGAATCTTCTCCACTTTAAATCAAGAGCCTGAACACTTCAGTGCAATAGAAGATGCAGGGACACTCTTGTCCTTGTTTTTTTGACTATAGTCCCAGCGAACCTAAATAACAATGACTCGTCTTAAGCTTCAGAAAGGGCACACACCTCATGAATGCTCACTGTCCTTGGCAGATTCTGAAATAATTAAGATGTTGACAGCATCCGCAGTTGGGGAACATAAAAATTGAGATGTGGAAGGAGATGAGAGTCTAGTTGATATGCGAAGTTATTCTAACTGCTATATTCAGATTTAACTGGGAGCTCTCTTTCCTACGTCTACTCTGTTCTCCAGCACCCATGAGTGCGGTGGGGGATCACCTGTGCAGTGAGAACTTATGTCCTTGATTTGCATATATTTGTTTGTAGCCACATGACAAGAAAAGCAGGTATCTGGTTTTTACTTCCTCATTCTGCTGTGGATTAGACTGGACCAATAATTGCTGGTTTAGGGGGTCTTGCAGCTCGGAGGCTGTTTTCTAGGTAGTTTCAACCCTGGAATCCTCTTCCTTACTCCAGGGAAATCTATACCTGGCGCACATGCGCTCTGGTCCCACTTGGACATTTTTTCCACGCTGCCATGTTCTGCCCTACTCTGGCCACTGCAGTCCTCAGGCTTCAGTGCTTTGTGAGCCCTTCTCCTGCAAAATCACCAGATAGGTGCACTCTCGAGGCCCAAGAAACACATCTCAGGCATGTTCTGAAGTGAGGCCTCTCCCACGACAGACCTCCCTTCCTCTGCCTGAAACACCTCACTCCACCCTCTAGCGCAGGGGCAAAGGGGGTATTCTGATCAGTCTTTCCCGGTGGGGTTCCTGCCTTCTGGCTTCAGCCAGCCTCAGCACTCCAGGGTGATGTCCTAAGCAGCACCATCTTAATGGGTCACGCCCTTTTCTGAAATATGAAGCACCTGTGTTGCCTTGCGAGCCAAGTCCAAACTTCTCTGCCTGGAACTCAGCCTCATCCTATGATCGCTCTCTGACTTATCATTCCAGCTAACTCACTCTCCACCTCTAGAGTAGAGGGCAAGTTAATAAGTTAACAGGTTAAGTGCCTCACAGTTAGTCCTCATGATGTTCTTGTGAGACAGCTACTATTTTTTCTTGGTTTTCAGATGAAGAAATTGAGACTAATACAGGCTATGAACTTATCCTACATAACCCAGTGTGTTCAGGTTCCTAGGGCTGCTGACTTTCCCATAAACCTGGTGGCTTGAATGGACAGAAATTGACTCTTGAAATTCTGGAGACTGGAAACCCCCACATCCTGGTGTCTACTCCCTAGGGAAGTCTCTAGAGGAGAATCCTTCCTTGGCTCTTCCAGCTCTGGTGGTCCCACATGTTCCCTGCAGGTAACTGCATCACCCTCATCTTGACATAGCCCATTTGTCTCCTCTGCACTCCACACATTGGATTTGGGACCCACCCTAAAACCAAGCTGGCTTCCTTTTGAGATCCTTAACTAATTACATCTGTTCACAGACCCTGCTTCCCAGTTAGGTCATATTTTGAGGTTCAGGTGGAACTTGGACTTGGGGGGGACTCTATTCCACCCACTCTACTCATGTAAGAAATTGACACTGGGTTTATCTGACTCCAGCCTCAACATTTAACTCTGTGCTTCATGCCTGCCAGAAGGCTCTTGGCCAAATTGAATTTCTCTCACTTTTCTAAACAGATATCTCCCTTCCCTGCCGCTCTGTCTTTGCTCCTGCTATTTTCTTTATAGAGACCAATCTTTCCTTTTTTCTTTCCTTCCACCAACCTTACTCCTAGAAATCTTCAAAATGAAACTCAATGCCGTTTCCCCCAAGAAGACACCCAGGACTGCATGGGCCAGCCAGGAAACTCTTCCTCCCACCTGCACGCCCACTGCCTTACCTCACATCTCTGATGGCCATTATTGTCTTTGACCTCACATTCTAGATTTTTGTGCAGTTGTTTTCACTGGCCACCAGCCCCGATTCCTGCCAATGTTAACCATAGTTAAGTTTCTTAAAGGCAAAGATGCCTTTTCTTCTGTGTATTCTGCATAGCACCTTGCATAAGCAGCTTCTTAACTCTGGCCAAGTGAATTCTTAATCACCTCTTTCCCTGCAATAATACCTTGTGTATTAGTAAGCAAAAATGTGGAATGTATAAAATCCAGCTATTTCCAGTGCTCCTACCTTGCCCAAATGGAATTTTTTTTAAAGGCCAATTTACTTTTCCACATCTAATTCAATCATTTTAATAACTTTTTTCTTCATTCAAATTTTATCTAATAGGAACAAATCCAGGCCCTTCCAAGTATAATAATCCCACAAGTCTTTTCATTTTCTTCCTATTTCCAATGCCACCTTCGTTGGCTTTTGGGAACAGTCAGATTTACTGCCCTCAAGGTTTCCGAGGACAAGAACAACATCTTAGTCATCATGACATTCCCAGCACCCATCAGTGTCTGAATATCCAATAAAGTCTGAAGAAAGTGTGAGTGAGCGAAGGTGTGGACGCTGCGTTAGAGTAGGAAAAGTCTCAGTTCTCCCTGGAAGAGAACTTTTGCTTTTGCAGGTCTGAGGTCATCCTCGCCCCATGCCCATGAGGCAGATAATGCTGCCATCCTGACACATTACAGATGGGAAACAGAGGCCAGGAGAGAGTAAGGAAATTCACTTGGCCACACTTCCAATAAACATTGAAACCCAGGTCCATCTGGCTGCGGAGTTGCAGCTCTTAACTAAAAATCGCCTCAGATTGCTGTGCTGCCTGCATTGTCCCACCCTGGCTCAAGCTGGGGAGCCCTAGTGGGTCAATCCTGCCTAGGAGGCCTGGGATCTGTTGGCCATTTGGCTGGGGAGGTCTGAAAAAGATCTGAGGAAGGTTGATATGCAGGGTGTGTATATGTGTATGCACATATGCTGTATATTTGCTGTGTACATCTGTGGTATGTGTATGCTGCATGTGTGCTATGTGTGTTTGCTACATAAATGTGGTGGATATGTGCTATAGTGTGATACATGGAGACAAGAGGACTGAGTTATAGGAAACAGTTTTGGAGACTAGAATAGGCAAATAACCAGGAGTCACATTTTGACTCCAATCCTGGCCCGGACTCAACATCTGCATAAACTTAGACCAGTCACTATCCCCCTGAACTAGTTCGCTAAGAAATGAGGTTCTGTCACCCTCAAGGAAACACTAAAAGGATCTGTAAAATTCAAAAGAAAGTTATGAAAGTCTCAATACATGCAGGAGGATCAAAAGGAAAAGAACTTGTGGTCACGGATTTGAAGGAGTTCCCACTTGAATTGAAAGAATCAGACACAGGAAACTAGCTCTCATTTATGCAGGATGAAAGATGTGCACGATGAACCATGAGTTTAGCATTTCTTGAGCTTTTTACTGCACAACAGATTAAAAGACGCTAATCTCACAACAAGCTTACAAGTAGGTGTCATTAGCAAGCCCATTTTGCAGATGATAAAACTGATAGCTAAATACTATCCAAAGTTACACTAATGTTAAATGACATAGTCCAGATTCACACTTGGCCCATGTAACCCAAATTTTCTCTTTTATTACCTCTCTGTAGTGTTTCCTTTAGCAACTCAACAAGCATAGTGCGGAGAGACGGAACCTCTGCCCTTAGCTTGAGAAAGAAGCAGTCAACCAAAGAGCAAACCTTTTTAGAACTGTGTCACTTCAGACAATGTGAAAGTTCCCATGATTGTCACCTGTGCATCTGACTACAAACTCATAAAGATAGGGAGGTAGGAGAGTAAAAGAGAATGTACAGGGGACAAAGAAGATGTGGTAGGGCGACACCAGGAAGTTCCCTTCCAGCATAAGGGTTGCACACACCCTCAGAAAAATGCCACATGATTAACGTCAACCATATTAACGTCAGAGGGAAGACTCTGGTTCCAGCTTTGCCTGACTGATCCACAGCTGAAAATCACTAGTTCCCCCTCCCCTATATTTTTTAACTTTTCTTAATGCTTCAGTAAAGCTGAAGACTATGATCCCACAGGGAACAGATCAATCAGCTTTGACAATAGCTTAGCATTTAGGGGACCCCATATACTTACCCACTGAATCATCCAAAACTAACTTGAAATAATTGTGAACCACAATTCCAAAGGACAGATATATTTTTAAAACAGATAATTACTGGGCTTCTGCTAATGAGAAAATGAAACAACAGAATGGTTTATTTTTTTTTCCTCTCTGGAATATGCTTTTTTAAAAAACCATATAAAAATAATCATGATCATCTTGTTTGGGGAAGAAAACAGAATGTCTTTGTTTTCAAAGATTTTATTTCTTTTATTATAAGACATATAAGGTAAAAACTTGTATATTTTGAAAAAGATAGAAAATGGTAATAAAATGGACATTTTTCTTATTAAGAAATATGTTCATAAATATGCTTTATCAAATGTTAAAATGGTTATTTTGCAAAATAATAATAAATAGAGCAGAGCTGTAGCATACAAGGGCTAACTCAAAATACTGGAAGTTTTTATATATTTTATAAAAATTTAGCCTTTGATTCTATTTAAAAATTTGGCATTTTATACTCCAGGTTATCAATAATTCAGATTTTAAAAATATTTTTATGTTAGCTCCATGATTTCAAAAACAATGAAACACAAAAGGTGATTTTACTAAGTAGAATTTGTTGAAAATAACCTTCCCTTAAATAAAAAATTGTAAGACACATAAGATACATGTTTTGAACCTATAAATGGTACACACATTAGTTCCCAATACCACAAATCTCTGTAAGCATTACACAAAAATTGTTAGCTTAAGCTTTAGTTTCCAGCAAGATCCATCATTTCTTTTCACAGTTTGATGGAGCATTGATAGTCATGACCATGATGAGCCCAGTTCTTACAATTCTAGCTCCATGGAGATAAGGTACATGGACAGTTCTCCTCCTTTGAATAAATCCTTTCAGTGTTCCCATGTTCGTTTATCACCCAATGGCAAGAACACTGGGCAAAATTTTAGTGATGAAAAGCTCTTGTTCTAGGCATTCTTTTGTAAGCTTTGATTCTCTACTATCCAAAGGAGCAAAAAAACAAAAAAACATGTGAACACCAAACATGTCCCATAATGAGCATTAAGTGTCCACTTAGCAAAGTCAGCCTTTTTCGATAAATAAATACTAATTGTTTACAAAGATCTTTCATTTCCCATGCATTTTGTTGCCCATGAGGCTAACATATTCATTCCCAGCTGCATTGAGGGAAGCCACATCTAACAATACTCAAGTATTCAATCTAATATAGATTATTGGTCCCAGTGGCCTTTGACGATGTCCATCAGGAGGACATCTGGGTGATGCTTGGTGTCTAGAGCACAGAGAGGTCGTGGCAAGATTTGGACTTGAGCTTGAAGGCCATGTTCTTGTTGTTTTTGGCCACGATCTTGCCCCAGAAGCGCCGAGCTTTCCTGGGGATGCTCTCTCTCCGTTTCTGGTACGCCAGCCGCCGCTCATTTTTCTCCTTGCTGTCCCTACGTAGGCGGACCTGCCGCACAATGCCCTCGAACAGCTCCTTCACGTTGTGCTGGACAGCTGCTGAGGTCTCAATGAACTTGCAGTCGAACACCACAGCACATGCTCTCCCTTCTGGTAAGGAAAGGCAGAGGACAAAGTCAGGGGGACTGAAGAATGTGATCGCACCCAGCATGCAGCCAAGCTGGATGATTCCCACAAAACTATCCTCAGAGGGTAACTCTAGGTCAGTGCTATAAACAATGAATAGAGGGAGCCACTATGACACATGCCCTCCCAGGGTACAAATAGAAGGACAGAGTCCCACAAAAGGATCCCTGGAAGCAGGGGAGATTATCTTCAGATATGTTCACCAGGAATTAACTGTGTGAAGGTCCAATTGCATCAAATATAGCATATTAATTAGAACATAAAACCATAGCCTGAATTTATTATGGACTGACTACATGCCAAGAAGTAGGCTAAGTTCTTTATAAACACTTTTTCAATGATCATAACAATCTTGGAAAATACATTATTATCCCCGATCAGGCTGGTGAAGAAATTGGGGGCAGGGCTCTTTTAAAACTTGTCAGAGTTCACACTGCCTGCAAGTGGCTGTGAATCCAGGTCAACTTAAATCTCTAATCCACACGCTTTCTCTTGACTCAGTTTCCTGAACTGAGAATTAGAATGCTACCATTTGACTTTCCCCTCTTTTTTATTTTTATTTATTATAATTTGTTATATATGACAGCAGAATGCATTGCAATTCATATTACACAAATAGAGCACAATTTTTCCATATCTCTGGTTGTACACAAAGTAGAGTCACACCATTTGTGTCTTCATACATGTACTTAAGGTAATGATGTCCATCTCACTCCACCGTCTTTCCTACCCCCCATGCCTCCTCCCTTCCTCTCTCTCCCCTTTGCCCTATCTAGAGTTCATCTAATCCTCCCATACCCCACCCCTCCAACCACATTATGAATCAGCATCCTTAAATCAGAGAAAACATTCAGCATTTGTTTTTTTGGGATTGGCTAACTTCACTTAGCATTATATTCTCCAACTCCATCCATTTTCCTGCAAATGCCATGATTTTGTTCTCTTTTAATGCTGAATAATATTCTATTGTGCATATATATACCTAAATTGAGAATTAGGATTTTACCACTTGCCTTTCCTCTCTTAAAAAAAAAAGCTGTAGGGGTTTTTTAAATATATATATTTTTTTAGTTGTCAATGGACCTTTATTTTACCTATTTATATGTGGTGCTGAGAATCAAACCCAGTGCCTCACACATGCTAGGTAAGCACTCTACCACTGAGCCACAACCCCAGCCCTATAATATTTTTTTTAATGAGGTTTTTCAGTTACATCAAACTATTCAAGCTTCTCTGGAACAAACTCAATTTCAAATATTTCATTGTGTTCAATGATCACATGTCCCAATTCCAGTTTGGAAAGTAATGATTTTTGTGGACAATCATGTCTTAGTAGTAAGACATTCCCAACAAGTTGAGTACACGGTCTTGACTGGGTTGGGTTTCTCTTCTCCAGAGCAGGGTCTAGCAATGCTGCATTTTACTTTTACATTGTACAAGGGACAATATGTATTAGGTCACTATCTCAAGAGTCCTATAAGCACTTGGGTGTCCACTCAACAAAGAAGAAGTATCCTCAAACTTAAGTGTGAAAAAGTATGCAAAACCATCAGATTAATGTCTTAGCTGAAATTTAGAAGCAGGGGATAGGGTGAGGAAGTTATTTCTAGGGCTTGGAGGGACCAGTAACAGCCAGAATAGAATTCTTATTCTCAAGGAAACTCTTTCCCACAATTACCCTAAATCAGAGTTCCCTATCCTTCTTGCATAAAGATGTTCTTTTCCCAGCTGGGCACAGTGGCATATGCCTGTAATCCCAGTGGCTCAGAAAACTGAGGCAGGAGGTTCCAAATTCAAAGCCAGCCTCAGCAATGGTGAGGTGCTAAGCAACTCAGTGAGACTCTGTCTCTAATAAAATACAAAATTGGGCTGGGGATGTGGCTCAGTGGTTGACTGCTCCTAACAGTACCATCACCCCCGCCCCAAAAAAAGATGTTTTTTTCCCTTCCTTGAACCCTGCGAGGACAAAGAGAAAAGTCTGGAGACTGCCAATAAATCCCTGAGGATGGCATTTCAAATCACCAGAGGGTGTACATTATTTAGCAATTCCTTTTATAATTTTAGAGCTACAGGTGTGATAAGAGGAGGTTAATTTTATAACCTAGGGCATTTCCATTTTGTATATGTGTGTGTCATGTGTTTCATTAAAGCCTAGCTTGAAAGCTTCAGTTCATGTCTCTGTTGAGCTGAAGTATTCAGTCCATTGCAAAGAGGGTTCTCCCCCATGTAAAATAAGAGAATTTTCTTGTTAATGTTTCTAAGTTCTATAATGCTACCATTTTCAGCTAGTTTAAAAATAAAAGACATCCTAATAGGGCCAACCAGGTATTTTATCAGAGTAAGAATAAGAAGTTTCTAGAGTGGCTTAGGAGGATTATCATAATGCATTCATGGAAAACCACCAACATAACCCATGTGACATTCAAGTTTGCTGTTAAAAGTAATATATAGTTGTCTTGTACAGAGGTCAAACTAATCTGAATAAGAAGAAAAATGCTCTAAAAAATATAGAAGGAATGAAAAGAAAGAAAAAATGAAAAGTCCCTGAGCATGATCTCTTCCCTAAAGGAATTCCAGGAAACCTCTTGGGGTGAGGAGATTGGACTCCTGCAGGAAAACCAGATGGACAAGGTAGAGCAACCAGCAGGGGATGACTGTTGGGGACTGGAGCAGTCTTGGAAAGTACAGAAGTATTTTTATGGAGCATTTTAATGAGTCCCTGATGCCAGCCTCATGAAAGAGGAAGGGAAGAACTTATAGGCAGGGGCTGTTTCCAAGGCACTGGTACCACCTCTCTTACCTGATACAGACACCTCCCGGCACCGAACTAGGTCACTTTTGTTGCCAACTAAAATGATAGGAATGTCCTCTGTCTGCCGGGCCCTGCGGAGCTGTATTCGCAACTCAGATGCCTTCTCAAAGCTCGCTCGATCTGTGATGGAGTAGACAATCAGGTAGGCATCCCCAACTTGCATGCAGTGGTCTTGGAGCCATTCATTCTCTCCCTAAAGAAATGAAAAGATCCTCTATGAGCTCAGGGTGGCCTGGGAAAGAAAGTGTCATTTTGCAAAGAAATCATATGTGTATCCTAAAGTACCTTTGCTGATAACAGAAGGGAAGAAAACTGCTTCAAACTCTTCAAAATCCTTTGAACTTCCATGCCTGTGAGATGTTGGGGCTGTGAAGATTACTAGCCTGTATGGTATTTGTGCCCAAAAGAGTTTACTCTCCTATGTCTTTTACAGCTTGAGTTGATAAATTACATAACTGCTCTGCCATACGGTATTTCTAACTCCCCCCCCCCCAAATTCCTTTTCCTTTTCCAAGGAATAAAATTAAGAAACCTTTGGTGAGGAGGGTTCTCAGTAAACAGAAGGTCTCGCATATATGCTCAGAAGCACAAAACCTTTGAAAAGTAAATGTTGAAGACTAGTGTTGAGAATGTCAACTTCATACAAGATGGTTTTATGTGGTTGGAAAGTAACTCTATGCTTGTTTGAACTTTCCCTAAAACAAATACACTTTTTGTGTTTTTTAATAGAACTAAGGGTGGAACACTGCCACTTGCTTGTTATTCAGAGCTCATCTGTGAATGACCTGTTCCTTAGATCAGTTCTGTTCTTCAGAAGTAAATGCTTTTAATCAAGGAAATGAGCCCACCTCATCTGTGTAGAACAAGGTCACCCTCACACCAAACAGCCTGTTCAAGGGCAAGCCCAAGAACTCTCTGAGAGCTTGAACAGGTTCGGCATACCTTATTTTCCCACATGTCCAGCAGTATAATTGTGGCACTTTCCCCGTCAACAATCAGGGTGCGCTCATATGTATCTTCTAGAAAAGAAAGAAGATTGATATTAAAGTCAGATGAATATGCAACACTTTGACATAAGGGGGCCATGCATAAAGTTATGCTAAAAAACACACTAAATATGCCACTAACTAGGTAGATACGCAGATATTTGCAAAGAAAAATTGCTTTTTGTCATCTTCAACAATATACGATGGCTATTCCTCTAGTATTTGGTAAGCAGATCGCCTGTATCTTTCAAATGTGTACCTCTAAACCAGTTGAATTAAAACATCTTCATTTTCATTGTTCCTCAAACTCTGTATAGGAAAACCACTTATGAAAACAAGGCTCACATAAGAGCCTTTGACTCAGGTTTAATGGATGAGGCTATGAAAAAGTATTAACTGTAAGCCCTATTTTCATAAGCCTTACATGGAAATCCATTGTACCTACCAGTGGATGGTTCCAGAACATTCACTGTCAATTTCATGAGTTTTAGCTCAGAGATATTTCTCCTCCTTGGAGAAGTGGGAAAAAAAATCTTGAGACTATCCTGTTTGACCTATAGTTTTTTTTATTCCTTAAAATAATAACAACAAAGGCTGGGGCTGGGGTTCAACGGTAGCACACTTGCCTGGCATGTATGAGGCACTGGGTTTGAGTCTCAGCACCACATATAAATAAATAAAAATAATGGTCTGTCAACAACTTAAAAAAATTTAAGAAAAAAAATTAATTAAAAATAATAATAATAACAACAACAACAAGAGTAACTCAGTTCTCTAGGACTAGATGAGCTTATTTTCCATCTTGAGTACAGCAGAAGTACAGCCTCCAGTTCTACTTGGTAATGGAAACTTTCCTCCCTGCACTTGAGCCCAGATTGAGTATAGGTGAAAGGTGAACACAGTACAATGGGCCAAAGTAGCTCCAGTCTGGAAAAATCCATCGGGGTGGCACCATGGGGTGTGCTTGGATTTTTGCAAGAAGGACACCCTATCAACTCCAGTTGATCCCATCCTACTCTGTTTTCACAATGTGATTTCCCGTTTTGAATTTCATCATTTGAAAATTATGACTTTTCTAATGATTTACCATTATTCTCATTCATCCTTTTGCCTAGAAGCTCTTCCCTCAGATACCAGCAAGGCTTGTCCCTTACCTTAACCTTCTGGGGAGGTATCCCTAACCATTCATTTGAAATCTCTCTTTAGTCTCACTAAAATTCCCTACACTATCTCCTGCTTTGTTTCTTATTTGCATTATTGTCATCGAACATGCAACACATGTATCTTTCTAAAATTTTAGCATTTGTTGCCTCCAACTCCCCAGAATGTTAGGGCAGAGATTTGCATCTGTGATGTTTACTCTGCCCCGAGCACCCAGGATAGTGCCTGGCACATTGCAGGTGCTCAATAAAAATGTGTCCAATGAATGAATGAATGATATACACAGCACTGTGGTTATGAGCACAAGCCAACATGAATCAGAATCTGGTTTCATCCCTAATTAAGTATGTGGCTCTGGACCACTTACATAAATCCTCTGAGGCTGGGTTTTCTTCATTTACAAAATGAGATTGATAACCGTATCTACCCCTTACGACTGTGTGACAGTCACATATACTAAGCCTGAACACAAAGTAGAAAGTGTTAGCTCTTATCATCACTTTCTCACATGCAAGAAGCTGGTTTTTGCCACAACCAGAATTTTCTACTACAGATAAATCCCAGCCTAAGTGTGCTATGGTCGGAGATCCAGGGAGGCTCTTGTTTTATAACAGAGGTTCATTGGTTTAGTGCTTCTTTACCTAAGAACTGGACCAGGAAAGGGAAAGAAAAGAAAACTCAGACAGGGGGAAGTTAACCAGGGATGGCTCTGTCCATTTCCCACCTCCAGTGTCATTAGCAGGAGTAACTGTTTCCCACTGGGGGTTTACAAATCTGTTGTGTCCTCCTATTTGCTGCATCCATCCTGCGCCCCTTGGAGGCGCTCACAGCGGGATGCAGTTTGGCTTACTGGAGGGCAGGGCCTCATGACCCCAGGGCACAGACTCCTACAAGCCAAAGGAAACCTGCCCAGCTCAGATGAGTGGGAGGGGAGATCTGACTATCCCCTACTACCACAGAGTGTTTATCTTTTCTCTAAATACCCTCCCTGCACTCAGAAAACTCCAGGAAGGCACTTTGTCTGCCTTCAGTCACCACCAAAAGCAGGTATAGGGAGATCTGCCTGATTGTCCAAGTCGTTCACATAGAAACATACCATGTTCCAACAGCTGAAGGCCAAAGCAAACTCCACATTTCTCTTGGACTGAGAGATGTCAGAACATGTCTAGAGAAACAGTGGACTAAAAATTACAGCTGTGAAAGTGGGAACAAGATATTTTGCTGTTCTGGAAGTTTCCTGACAGGATCATTCTATCTGGCCTGACCTCTGCCTGAAAACCACAGTGTTGGAGACCCGAGAGCCTAAAACAGTAGATCCTCTCCTTCCAGTTTGGGTTTATATCCCTCTGGCTGGGTGCACTGGGGACTCTCCTGACACTCAGAGTCCTGCTCAATAGCCTTCCACTAACTAAGTGCCTATAACCAAAGCTCTAGGTTTCTCTTCCTCCCTTAGTCCTCAAGCAATCTTTTAACCTCTCCAAGTGCTGATTGAACAAATTGAATAAAAGAACAGGAAATTCTAGAAGAGCTCTTGGAAATTTGCAAGGGGTTATAGAAAGGGTCGGGCCTTTCAGCCTGTGGGGCTTGTCTGGGATGTCCTCGTTTCTTTCATGCTCTGTGTGAATGCTGGGGGTGTCCTGGCACACTGCATAGCAAGAGACGTCATCCTAGTGGAGCCCAGGAGATTCTAGAGGGGGCTACTGTGCTCAGTGGCCATTTTCCCTGGACCAGTGCACCTCAGCTTATCTTTTCCAATCTGCTCCCACTGACAAAAACTCTGTCCCTGACCAAACGTGCATCATGAACCCTCTTCTTGGCTGGAGTTTTCATATCTGTCCTTGTAGAGTCCAGTTTTAATCAGAATCCTGCTGAGTCAGATTAGTGACACTTCCCCAGCCTCAATATCTGATCAAATTCCTCATTTCCCCCACCTTTGATGTCTAAGTCGTTGCCCTGGCTCCAGTAAGAATTCCCCTCATTTTGATATTTCTTCTTAGTGATTTTCCACCCACAGATCCTCCCAACCTGCTCCTTTGTTATAAATCCCCACTTGTTCTTATTACATTTGAACTTGAGTCCAATCTCTCTCCCTTTCTGCTATAGTCCTGAATAGTTTCCCCATTATGTACATTTTTCTTTTACATCCTTCCCCACCCCCAAGGTCTCTCCTGCCCAAGACTGGCTGGAGGCCTGCAGGTAGAACCTGCAGAGCTATTGTCTCACGCTCCAGAAGAGGCTCCTATAGCCTCTCAAAGGCTCTGAGGCTCCAGCATCTCTCCCACCCAAAAACTTTCAACTACATTCAGCTTTCAGAGGCCAAGAGGTATCAAGGAAGATACGCTTGCTCTAATGTAAGATCCTCTCCTCTATTGGCTCATGTCTCCTCTGCATATCTGAAAGGGCCCCAGGCAAGAATGACAAGAGGGTAGGTAGATAGGGAATAAGGACTTAGAAGTGATGAAACCGAAGTTCAGGAGAATAAGCACACAGGAAGGAAACAGCAGATCCAGAATCTATGGTAAGTACATTTATTCCACATTTCCTATGTGCCAGCACTAAACTACCTGCTTACACTACCTGCTTAATGTCTGCTCTTTTAATTTGTATAATGCCCTATGAAGTACTGTCCCAATGATACTAATAAGGAGGTTTCGGGAGGTTAAGGCGTTTGTCCAAGAGCACCCAGCTAAGTCTGTGTCACGTGGGGTCTAAGCCCACTCATCAGACTCCACGCCCAGTGCTCTTTCCTGCACTCCCCTGCAGGTTCAGTGCCTTCACACCTAGCACAGCGCTTCCAAATCCTAGGGGTCTTTAAGGTGCAGCTCAGACAGCACCTCTTCCCTGAAGCCTCTTCTGATTTTCACAGTCTTTTCTCTGAATTCCACTTTCTCATAACCTGTTCTCCTTGCAATTTTTCCACAACACTTATCACATCCTCGTTTCATTTACAGTTGATGTATGTCTGACCTCCATGGCACACTGTGAGACCCTCTATGAAGGGAGCCCCCAGGACATTTGCATGTCCCCAGAGTGACTCAAGTTCTATAGTATATGTTTAGTAACTGTTTATAAATGAATGAATGGCATTAAATGTACACAGAGAGTCATAACATTATCACGATATAACTGTAACAGCATCCATCTTTATTGGGAAAAATAAGGATGAGAAAATTGTATATACTTTTTCTTATGGTTAATGCTGTGAGGGAAAAGACAAAAACAATGTAGGAGTGTGTCTTGAAAAACCTCCCTCGTGGGAAACACAAAGCCAACTAGTGATTCCAACAGGGCTTATATATAAGGAATATAATCCTAGATGGTATAAATTAAGTTACTCGAATAGGATATGTAAGATAGGAAGCACTTGTCAAAGATTCTCAGTTTAAGGACGTAAGAAAAAGATTCTCTCTCTCCTTATCTCCCTCTTATCTAATAAAGAGATTTCCCAAATGCAGAAGGCTGCCTCCCAAATTCCAGGTATGAATCACTCTTCTCAATACTTTATGCTTACTATCCTCTGGATATACACCACCCCATTCTAATGAACAAACATTTTTGAAAGTATATTATTCACTCCTTCAATCCCTCCCTCTTAAAAACAAACAAACCCTGTCAGTCGATGAGAGAGTTGTCAATCCTTAATTCTTTCAATCCTCAAAACACACTATTGCTACTTCTTAAATAACCTAATAATTTTAAATTAATTTCACCCCATTCTAAATTATAGCCACTGACACAGAGCTCCTGAGTGAGAAGGTACAGTGTGGTTTGCCCATCTTGGGGTACCCCAGAGCTGTCTTCTAGACACAGATACCCACCAGCCTTCACAAAGAAAAGAGAATCAGCAATACAGCACCAGTCCTGCAACTCTGGGATAGGCAAAGCCCAAAGTAAGAGAGAAATTGATATTACATCAGTGAGTCATCACTTATAGCCCAGTTCCTGAGCTGCCTCTTGAAGCAGTAAACTCCCTGACACTGACACAGTCCAGAGGAATAAAACCTTTAGACAGAATGGGCTGATGTATTGAGGAGTAGGATTCATATGCATCAGATGGGGAGGAAATATGAGTCACCACTAAGCCATTTTCCTACCCCGGAAGTCTGTGATTCAGTTGTGTGTTACAGCTGGAAATATGGACAAACCATGTGACTTGGGTACACTGGACAGTTCTTCCTTCATTTCTAATAGTAGTAAATAGGGACACACAGCTACCCCGGTTACATGTGCTAAGATCAGCGCTGTAGTTGGAGGACACTGTATGGACACCACTGGCTATTAGGATCCTTATATTCCATCGCAGAATATAAGGCTCTCCTTTTCCTGTTATTAAGGAACACATGCATTTATGAAATACTATTATCACAAAACAATTTTAGAAATAGGGCTTCAACAAGTAAATATTTGAAATTATATTGTACAGGGAAAATTATCTTGGAAAAACTATAAGACTCCATACAAAGTATTCATCATCATTGTCATTATTTCAAAAATTTTTTTTAAAATATTGAATTATTTCAAATACAGATTTTGAACTATTTTACACCAGTAAGTCTTTAATATTGGTTGTAAGAGGCTGGTAAATATACTCAAACAGTTTTTGTTGTTGTTGTTGTTGTTGTTGTTTTAATCAGTTTTGTTGTAGGTATAACCATGGGAAAAGGCTATACCTGTACTGAGCTCTTGGAATCTGATCCAGGACAGAGTCAGCAAGAGCAAGAAGTGGGATCCTGAACTCTGGCTCTGTCCTCTTTAATCAGCCTCCCTCAGACCCTTCCGATTAGGAATCTCAGAAACTCCCTATGGCTCAGGTTCAACAGACTTTGGTCTTATCTATAAGCATTGTCATTTTCTTGTCATGAGGGCCTGTGCCAGGGCCCTTCTGGGGACTCAGCTTCCCATCCAGTGCCAAGAAGGCATAACTTCAGCTCCCAAGTCTGCAGATAAATAACCCTCTGGCTCTCTTTCTGCCTGGACCACTGCTAAGAGACAGAAGCCCACCAAGCCTGCGACACCTACCTCCCAGCACCTCGCAGTCGCTGTCCAGGCTGTCGTGCACGCCTGCAAAGATGTTGGCCAGGGTGGACTTGCCTACCCCCTGCTCCCCTATGAGCACCACGCGGTAGTAGGTGTTCCCTGACTCAGAGGAGATGACAGAGTCTGTAGAGTCAGAGGACCAGCTCCGCCGGCAGTGGTCCTCAGGGTTGGCAGAGTGGTGGTTGCGATGGTTGTATGGGTGGGGCTCTTTCTGGACCATCAGATGCCTGCCATCGGCTGGGATGCTCCAGCGCTGCTGCTGTGGCTGCATGCCCACAGTGCCCTGGCGCATGGTGACATTATTCAGAGTCATCGTGGGGTCCTAGGGAGCAAAACAGCCAAGATGCCAACATTGGTGAAGATAAGTGAACGTTCAGGGGACCTAAACACATGGTCAGTCATTAGTGATATTCTATGAAATGGGTACGAAATTAAGTATCATTAAGGAACATCAAAGAAACAGTCTCCAAACCCCAACAAGCCAGGCTTTCAAATAGGGAGATACACACACACACACACACACACACACACACACAATTAGTAACCATGTCCTCAGGCAGACTGTCAATTGCACAGGAAAAAAAAAAAAAAGTACCATTAACATCGCCCACTGCCCATAAGCTTCCTCCATCCTCAAAGAAGACTTGAGGTCTCCACTCTAAGCTGGCACAGAGGCAGTTGGAAGGAAACCACAGCCTCCAGAGATGGCTTGAAGAGCAACAAGTCAGGGCTGCTGGGGACCAGCTGGCCAGGTTAGCTGCTCTTTTCTAAACATGGCTCTTAATTGCACCAGCGTCCTGCAGGCTTGTGTGCCTCAGTGGGAAACACGTGGCAATGACATCACTCCCCCTGGCTGGACTGGACAGGCACTTATGGGAACTTCCATGTTTAGTAAAGTTGCCCTGATGCTCTCCAGCTGCCTGAAGAGACCGTTATTTGAGGAGTGGGGGCAATTTCTGTTTGGGGTTTACGCCTCAGCTCTGCCCTCTTGCCCACAGACACCACCTTTAAAGCATTCCAGCCCCAAGCCTAGTCATTCCAGCAGGTCACATTCAGATGTATCAAAAATTTGCAAAGTGCTTCACCCCCATCAAACCACATCCACTCCAAGATTTATTTAATTCCATTTCAGATTTCCACCTTCTTGAAACAAATCAGAAGGCCAAAGACTTTTCTAAACCACATTCACCAACTTCCTACAACTTTCCCTTTGCAAGACCAGGCACGGAGGGCTGTTCTCCGAGACTGCTTGAGATCAAGTAGAAGCATTCACATTTGAATCAGCAAGATCCACGGGAGAGTGACGGGTGCACAAACCTCACACCACGATCCTTATCCACGCATCAGGACCACCGATCGATGGGGGAGTTTTTGACACCTTAAGGGCAGCCCCTTAGTGGGTCGACTTGCATTCAAACAAGGAAAGTGTCATTGAGGGTTACCCGATGATCACACAATCTGCAGGAAGAGGTGACCCTCTTCCTGAACTGAACTAAGGAACCCGCTAATGAGAAATGCATCCTTTGCATCCGAAGTTCCTTCCCCTATCAGAAAACCAAGCGCAGACAGCAAGTTCCAGGGGTTCCCTTAAACTTAGAAAGTTCTACGGGCTGGGAACGCCCACTCCCTGTCCTCCCGCTCCCCGCGCCGCTGGAAGAGCGCCTCGGGACGCCCCCTTACTTGGCTCCGCGGGGCCGGCAGGGTGGGCGTCCGTGAGTGGGTCCGCGCTGGGATGCCGGGGCCGCTGAGCACCGGGAGACTCCGCTGTGCCCGCGGTCCGAGCCTACAGCCTGCAGCCGCCGCGGTCCCGCGATTTATACGAGCCCCGCCGACCCGCAACGGGGCTTTTCCGTGACGTCAGCGCTCCCGCCGGGAGGGGGCGGCTCTGCAGCAAACTCGGAGTTGCAGCCACTTGGCTAAATCAGTTACTCGCAGTCATGTGACCCCCACCTCCCCTTTAGAAAAAAAAAATAATAATGACAGTTCAATCCTGGGTTTGCTTTATTTTGTTTTATTTTATTTTTACTAGGTGGAAAAATACACTTAGCGCTACTTAATCGCCCTTCCCAGCAGAGCACTTGCCAGCTGTCGGGATAAAGGATGGAGGTAGAGACACATTTGAGTAGCGAGCCCAGCTTTGCCAAGAAAACAAGAATGAGCCGGTGTGCGCGGGGGACTTCAGCCTCCAGGATGGGGCTGCAGCCTCCTCGAATGGTCTTTTCCACCACGGCAAACAGCCTCTTCCTCCCTCCTGTAACCTTCTCCCTGGATTGTGGGGAGCCCCACACTGCTTTGTTTTCCTTTTCTGGCTGGGACCCAGAGAGAGGTGAGGAAAGGGGAGGAGAGCTTATAAAGGGAACGTTTGGAAAATAACTGAATTAGGGACCCACGCAGATAGTGCTATAGATTGCTGGCCCTCCTGCCCTGGGCCAGAATGCTGAGGTTCCTCAACAGGGGAATTTAATCACATCCCAATCAGCACCATCTCTGAACCAGGCTCCCTGGTATTGCTGGGCCTGAGGCTTGGGGCCAATACTTCCCAGCCATGGGGAGGAGCTCAAGCCCAGGAGGGACTCCTGTGAATAAAGGGCAAAGGATAATAACAACTACTACTGCCATTTACTACCTACTTCCAAGGACCTATATTTGGTACTGTTTGGCCTCCAGGGACCTTTACTCCTTACTACAATTCTGCAATGTGACTGGATTGCTGTATTCACCAAATGAAGGAGGAAAATGAGGCACTGCAAGAAATTTTCCAAGGTCAGAGAGCTCCTATAAATGGCAGGGTCAGCACTCAAAACTTGGTATGCCTGACTTGCACTGCACCACCGAGGAAGGGTTTCTGTGACCTCTTCCCCAGGACATAGGAATTTCCCAGATCCTTTCCAACATATCCATCACTTTTTCAGCCAGCTTCATCTCTGGGTTGGCAGGTGGCTCCAGGAGCAGCCAAAGGCACCAGTGCCTATTAGAGAGGCTAAACTCTGCTGTGTTAGTCAATTCCTATCCTGCGGACATTTATCGGCTTTGGGGATTATCTAAGTGACCAGCTGCTAAGACCTGCCAGGCCCCAAACTGGCAAAGTTGGAATTTGCACAGTAATGAAGACTTAGAGCCCCATAGTCTCAGGAGTCTAGCCCCAATCTCCTGTTTATTCTCTACATAAGGAAGCTCTGGCTTGGAGGACTGATAATCATTCAGTTAGGATATGGTAGAGTCAGAACTAGAATCTGGGTATCATAATTTTCTGAACTAGGCCCTTCACTTCTGTCAAATTTTTCTTCTGGGCTTAGCCAAAAGAGAATAGCTACAGCTGGGCGGAGGGTGGGGGGAAGAGGGGAAGGAGACAAAAGAGAGACAGAAACAGAGAGATCATTCCCAAGGGTATATCATTAAAATACATACAATTTGTGCACTATCTGCATTTCAGAATTATCCATGCTTTTTCCTTGCTAAACCTCATGCTCTGTAAGCTGGTCTCAACAGAAATATTGGGGGGGGGGGGTAAAAACTAAGAATTAATCAGAGTTTATATCATATAGTCTCTCAATTCTTAGCACACTGATAAGAGCCTCACATTAATAAGAATCTATGGAGCCGGGCACAGTGGAGCACGCCTGTAATTCCAGCAGCTCAGGAGGCTGAGGCAGGAGGATCACAAGTTCGAAGCCAGACTCAGCAAAAGTGAGGGGCTACAAATCTCCATCATGTTGGATTAGGTCCCAATTTCCATAAGACTCCTATAGTGCAAGAATTAAAATCAAGAATCAATAAATGGGATGGACTTGAACTAAAAAGCTTCTTCTCAGCAAAAGAAAGAATCAGTGAGGTGAATAGAGAGCCTACATCTTGGGAGCAAATTAAAAAAAAAACCACATGCACATCAGATAGAGCATTAATCTCTAGGATATATAAAGAACTCAAAAATCTTAACACCAAAAAACAAATAACCCAATAAATAAATGGGCCAAGGACCTTAACAGACACTTCTCCAAAGATGATATACATCAACCAACAAATATATGAAAAAAGTGTTCAACATCCCTAGCAACTGGAGAAATGAAAATCAAAATTACTCTAAGATTTCATCTCACTCCAGTCAGAATGGCAGATATTAAGAATACAAACAACAGGGCTGAGGTTGTGGCTCAGTGGGAGAGTGTTTGCCTGGCATGTGTGAGGCCCTGGGTTCAATTCTCAGCACCACATACAAATAAATAAATTAAATAAAGGTCCATCAATGACTAAAAACATTTTTTAAAAAGAATTAAAAGAATACAAACAACAATAAGTGTTGGTGAGGATGTGGGGGAAAAGGTACACTCATACACTGCTAGTAGGACTGCAAATTGGTGCAGGCAATCTGGAAAGAAGTATGGAGAATCCTTGGAAAACTGGGAATGGAACCACCATTTGACCCAGCTATCCCACTCCTCCTCAGTCTATACCCAAAGGACTTAAAAACAGCATACTACAGAACACAGCCACAACAATGTTTATAGCAGCACAGTTCACAATAGCTAAACTGTGGAAGCAACCTAGATGCCCATCAGTAGATGAATGTATAAAGAAAATGTGGTATATATACACAACGGAATATTGCTCAGCAATAAAAGAGAATAAAATCATGACATTTGCAGGTAAATGGATGGAGCTGGAGAATATAATGCTAAGTGAAATTAGCCAATCCCAAAAAACTAAATGCAGAATGTTTTCTCTGATTTAAGGGATGCTGATTCATAATATGATTGGAGGGTGGGGTATAGGAGGATTAGATGAATTCTAGATAGGGCAAAGAAGAGGGAGGGAAAGAAAGGGGGCATGGGGGTGGGAAAGATGGTAGAATGAAATGGACATCATTACCTAAGTACATGTATGAAGACATGAATGGTGTGACTCTACTTTGTGTACAACCAGAGATTTGAAAAATTGTGCTTTATATGTATAATATAAATTATAATGCATTCTGCTGTCATATATAATAAATTAAAATTTTTAGAAAACAGTGAGGGGCTAAGCAACTCAGTCTCTGTCTCTAAATAAAATACAAAATAGGGTTGGGGATATAGCTCAGTGGTTGAGTGCCCCTGAGTTCAATCCCAGGTACCACCCCCCCACACACAAACAAAAGGATCTATGGAGCTTGGGCAGTGTGGAACCCACCATGCATGTGTGGTGGGCCTGAGGCACTGTGAACCAAGGCATGATGACTTTAGCGGCCACCCTTCAGCGGCCAGACCATGGTAGGAACACCTGCTGTAGAAGACCACTCCATGCAGTGCTACAACCCAAAACCTGCAAGCATAGGCCATCCCATGACCTCACCTCCTGCTTCCTGACCTATAGTGAGAAAATGGAAGTGGGGCAGATCTGAATGGAAGTTGGGACTCAAGAGGTGACCCACAGCATTAATACTTTTTCAAACCCTAATTAGCATACATTTGGAACAATAGCAGTGATCCACATGCTATATAAACCCCTAGACTAGCACTCCAATGGAGAAAACCTGCTATTGGGTCCTTCTTGTACTGTAAAAGTTCTGTTCCTATTTCTATTCTTTAGTAAATCCTACTCTTACACTCACTCATCCTGGTCTGTGGATTTCATTCTTCAAAACCATGAAAAAAG